TCGATGTTTGAAAATGTGTAGGCAAATGAAACGATGTAGGCTTCGAAACGATTCGAATAGTTAAATAAAATCTGGTTAGGAGATATATAATCCATATGTGGGAAAAATTTTTGGTTCAGTGATATTTTTTTGTTAACATGATGCTTCTTTTTTTTGGTCTCTTTTTCGATTTATAGTTAAAAAAATGTAGGGATTATATCGATACATGTATAACTTTTCATTTCTCGGATATTACATTTGAAGTTTGTATCGAAATGGGATTAATTTCATTCATTAAATAGGTCAGCATTGCAATTATCGAAGTTATCAACAAGGGAACAACGTTTAATCAAATACGTTTAACGTATCGAAGACTTTGTTATATTTTTATTTTATCGATACCCTTTTTACGTCCGTTAAGCTTGGTATTGTATTATTAAAATACAATCAAACTCTATATTTAGGATTAAAATTATTTTAAACTTTTACATAATCGGTATTGAGAAAAGTCTTAATGGAATTTACGTGCATTTTCGAAATATCATATACACGATAATCTTAAAAAATTTTATTATAACTAGAACAATGAATCGTGATATAAAAACTTACGAACGTAAAGATTATTATTAAATTTCTATATAATAAAAAAAATTAGTAAAATAAATAGATAAAATAACAATCTATTATTGAAAGTTCACAGATTTTCTTTCGTATTTTTAATTAATATTTCTTTCACTTTTTAAAAGTGTGCAGAGAAAAAATAACGATATAGTTAACAATCAACTTTTCAAATTTTAATAAGAGAAAGAATTAAAAAACAACTTTAAATTATTTAAAAATTTTATAAAGATATTTTAAAAGTTAATTATCAATTATCTTTCGGGCAATCTTTTCAAAAAATTACGATCATCCCTTACAAGTCTTGATAAAAAAAAATATATATATATCTTCTAAAGCTTTTAATTCATCGTTAAACGAACGCTACGTTTTACCCTACAATTTATTGAATCAACTTAATCATCTAAACATGATTAATTTAAAACGCATCACAGATAGTTTGCTTCACTATTAAACCACCAGAGAGCGTTTCACTCGTACGTTTAAGCGTAATGAGGCGAGTTAACGCGAAATTTTTAGTTAAATTATACCATCAAAACCGTTACGTATCCATTAAAAAGTCTTCTTACGGATAATCAAGGGTTAACTGAACCTACTTTCCACCATTAGAAGGTTAAATTGCAAACGTGTAACGACTACTTTTGCTAATTAAACGTTTCGTTCCAACCAGATCCTCCTTGTCGCGATTGCAATTTCCGGTAGAGTGTTTCCGGTGGTTGCGTAAACTCGAGATTCGAGAACGACATTAATTCTCATATTTTCATCTTAGCTGCAATTTAATTCAACCACCTCCAGCCACCACGTGTTGCTCGCGTCCGGCCGTGCACCCGTATTGTCTTTATTAGAATCCCTGCTGAGCTGCCATTTCTAAATGTTTCCCTTGTTTCATGATTATGTTCACAATGAGTTTTAAGAGGAAGGAGTGTGAGGCCTCCGAGGTGTTACTTTCTAGATTACTTTATTAATTAAATGCGCTCTCTCCAAGGTGAGGAATGTTAATGAATTTTTTTTCAACTTGGTGTCATGTTGTTTTCTTGTTTTATTATGTAACGTGTAGTCATGATTTACTATTAAATTGTATATATATATATATGCGGTGATAAAGAGAATATTTATGCTCATGAAAAAATTTAAGAGTATAAGTGAAATATTATAGTTTAATCAGTAGTTTGATATATGCAAATGTTTAATAATTATTGACTAGGTTTATTATAGGTTGGATAAAAAACATTTTAATATAATAAAGTTGTTTCGTGGATTCGTCAATCAAATATAGATATTCGTATTAAATTATTGAATAAAAGGTATTGAGTTTTTTGTTCTCTTCTTCATTTCACACTCTATTGCTTCTCGTGCTACGTATAATATCCCCGACGAGATCTGAGATTAATTACTGCTTGTGATAAAAAAAAGAAAAAGAAAAAATAGGCTCCCCGATTTATAAGGAAGGGAAATCGAATCCCTTTGTTCCAACGGAATTTTTTCATTTCTTTCGCGAACAAAGCGAATTCTGATAGGGGATACGGGTAGGCTTTCCACGTGGCTCAGTCGTGCGGCATAATTTTCAATTACAATAGATTATATCGCGTTGAATTTAAACCGGGATCGAAAACGCCGGCTCTTGTTTTGACAGTATCGCCACGATGAGACCATCGCTTTCCATGTGCTGATATTAAAAACGAGTTAATAAAAATCGTGCGTTTCGATATCGTACGTCAATTTTCTGACAATTTTTCACCATGAAAATAATTTGCTTAAAAAAAAATTTAAGCAAGTAAAAAAATTATTAAATAACAAATGGAACGAATACGAATATATAAGTTTGTCAGAAAATTGTGACTTTTTTTTAGAAAAATGAGGATGTGATATAATGATCCATGATAATGGAAATATATTATAGTATATTTTATTTTTACATAATTAAAAAAAGAAAAATCAAATCATTCCACATTGAACAAGACACGATAATTCTCGTTTCATTATTCCATCTTCCCATCCTTGCAAATCCTGTTTCTTACCAATAGCCTCCCTCCCCCTTCTCACGAAAGGAGATACAATTTTTTTTTGTCGGCGTCCAGAGATCGTGACCAGGCTATAAACGGTCGGTTTGCGTAAACGCACAAAAATCGTCGAAACTGCATGCCGCCCGTTTACACGCGGAATATTAATTAAGCTCGGGTAAAAGCCGCGCGTGTCGCGGAACGGCGCCGCTCATAACGGCGCCCGTTGTACGCGTTGAATCTCCATTACGAACGGCCGCACGTTTCCCGCGTCCGTTTTGAATTACGAGCGGAAAGTATGGAGCGATCGTAAAGCTCGTCCCCGCTTCGAGGGGACGCGTTTAAAAGGTCCCCACGCACGCGAGGACAATGCTAATAAGCGAATTATTGGGAATTCTAAGGGTTTCTAATCTAAGCTCACGGTGTGGATGAAGAAGGTTGAAGTTGTGTGACGATTGAAACAAAAGATATGCGTGTTGCAAAGTTGTGCAAAGCCGATTTAATCGCACCGGATGAAGCTAGATGGCGAGAGCTTCGCGTAACATTGAATATCGGGACGAAAGATGAAAGATGAAGTGGAAATAAAGAAAAATTTCTATTTTGAAAAATTTTATTAGTTCTAAATCTCACTAATTAAAAATTGAAAATTTCTTGCGTATTTTGTTTTTGTATTTATGAAATAAGAAGTCTATTATTTTTCTTGGTATGCTCGACAAATAAAACTGTTTAAACAAAACGATATTCGTTTGAAGTTATATCATAAAATTCTTCGATAGTACGTGTTGCATTTGAAAAATTAGAGACCAGATGGAGGAAAAAAAAAAAGAACGAAATTCTGTGGTTAAAGAAAATCGTCGTTATTCGACCGCCGAGAAAGACAAATCTAGCGAGCTCTAGGATCTCGTTCCCATTATTCCAGGATTTTGTGTATTACCCATAACGAATACGTCCAAGATAATAAAATAGAAAAGCCTGTTATTTCTCTTTATGGTCACAACACAGCCGGTTCAATGAACCTCTTACAGCGTTTGATATATCGATACCCCGTTGATAAAACATTTTTATCGTACGAAACATCGTATCGATTCTTCTATTCATAATATCAACCATGATCTATGAACGTGGCTACGACGTAGTAAAATTGCGAATTCGTGGCCAAATCTTATCCTACGAAGAATTATACTCGAAATGTGCAGATGTAGAATAGAACTCCGTCACGTGACAATTTTACAATCATTCGTTTTACATTTTTCAAGAATTTTTAACGCGTATCATTGCATGCAAAGGGATTCGATCATGATTCTTGTGAAAGCAATGGGAAGAAATATTATTTACAGTACATCCAAGCGCTTAGATTCCTGGATTAAAATACCGCAATAAGTCTCATCATCAAAAAGAAAACATACAAACAAGAAATAATATTTATACGACGCAATCATCTTCCTGCACCGAAACGAACGCGTCGTTAAATCAACATCAACCATCCCCATCCAATGTATATTCTTCCTGCTGCCAATTCGCAACTCCTCGAATTTTCATTTACCCACGCAATAAAACGCGGGTAGGCGGCTGTGCGTCGGAATTTAATCCCCTTGCCGAATGAAACTCGCATTAGCCGGGACACAATTTCACGCTAATTTCCCGACCGCGGTCTCACTGCATCTCGTCTCGAGGAGATGTCGCGCGAAGATGAACGTACCGACAAATATCTTCGCCTTTGCTAAATCTCGCTCCTTTAAAGAGAATCTCATTCCCCACCGCGGCCTCCATCGATCGACGAGAGCTCGTAATATCGTCGGTATTCTGAACGTGTACTTGCCACTTTACTTTTTCTCGAAATTCATTTTCATTGGTGGAGAGAAATCTCGTGAACAGAATCGCACAGATTGGGCGGAAAGAGGGGATGCATTTCCTTTTTTAATTCTGGCACGCTCGTTCGTCGATATAACTGGTGTCTTCTATAAGTGAAGATAATTATTCGTACAATAGAATCCCTCTTATTCGTGATTTTTATTCGAGGGGAATTACGAGCAATCCTCGTTTCATTTACATACACCACCACGAGTCATTCCAGAACTTTTGATTTAGAGAATCAGGAAAAACAGATTCCTTTTGTGCAACTATGTGCATCCAAAAGTATGTGCATTCCAAAAGCGATGGGAATAGGACCTCTCTCATCCCTTTATCGCGAATTCTTTCGAGAGGATTGCGGGAAGGTTGAATCGAATCAATGGTGGGATGCCATCCAGTGAATCTGTCGAGGTCAATTTAGTAATTAAACTAGCCGAGGAGAAGAAGCAAAACTAAACCAAATGAAGGCCCCTTCCTCGAACTGGAAGAGCAAAGGTTGCTACAACGTGGCTCCTGCGACCACGGTTGCTCGTTGCTGCCGCTACAACAACAGCGCCACCATCGGTATCGTCGCCATTGGCAAAACCCTTTTGCAAGATTTACGCGAGCTGCATCCGGGGCGAGTCCGTGATTCTTGTATGGACAACGATAGAGGATTGGATGCAGGCATTGGTAAGAAGGTTACGTTATTGCTGAGCTTCACGGACCATAGAGCAACAGATCGCGGCAATAACTTGGCGGAAGGAGACAGTCAGTAGTAATGCAGCTTACCTTTGCGGCAGGGAAATGGCGGAATGGTGTGCATGCAACTGCGAGAGGGAAGGGAAGATGGAACGGCTATCGCGTTTGCATCGTGGTAAGCATGGTTTCATTGGTCGGTGCTTGCCTCTTTGTTCACAGCGGACCCTGTCTTTTGTTATAGGCCACTAAGCGAACGACTCTATTTTGCATCGTTGAAAGGGCTCGAACTGTTAGAAACTCTTTTTTATTATGCGGCGACGATAGGGAGAAATGGAAGCTGCTTGTTCTCTTCCTTTTTTTCGGAAAGTATGTGGAAAGTAGAAGAATGTTTGTAGGGCCGAGTAAGGTTTCACAAGATTATACAGAGAATAATTTTGAGAGTATTTGCGACAGTGAGAGAAAGAAAATGAAAAATTACTTTGAAGTTTCGTCAGCATTGCGGTCAGATTTGAAAGTCAAATGGTATGAGGAATTATGCCATAATTTTTGGTGATTGAATATCAACGGTTTTTTTAAAGTTTTCGAATAGAAAGAATCCTTTAGATTTCTCTATTATATTACGAATATTTTTAATTCAGAAATGAATCTAAGAAAATTCTTTTAAATTTCCCCTTGAATTCCTAATATTCAGTAGAAAACTTTAATTATATTATAATCCTCGTAATTGAATTTTTTCTAAAAAAAAAAAACAAAAAAACAGTGTATTATCAATCAGTTTCTAAAAATTTAATACACGACTTGAACAAGTGAGACCACGATACGAGCGAAGCATAACTCTGTAACGAGATATCATATCGCTAATTAATTAAAAAATTAATCCGGAAGCAACCAAAGGTGAATCACGGTTACCTGTTCGCGATTTCACACAATGTGAATTTTATCTGGACGCCTCGCATTCCCGGGAGACTAATAATAAAATTGTTCGTTCCAGAAGAGAGACAGTTATGCAACGACAAGTATGCCACGAATTCTTCGGGCTTTCGACGATTACCTGGCACGCGGCACCAACCCCTATCTTCGAACGGCCGCGGATTACGCGACCTCATCCATCCCTGCGGCCGTGGGTAGCCGAATTAGTAACCGCACTTTGGACGATAGTTCATTATGCTAATTAAAGTTGGCTAAATATTCCTGTGAACGAACCGCCCCGAGATTCTTCCCTCCGTTTCCACCGTTGCCTCTCCCCCTCTTGCTCCTCTCTTTCTCTCTCTCCTTCCTTCGTTCTCCTTCCCTCTTTTTTTCCTGGCCGCTTGCCGCGTCCGGCGGCGATCTTAGGCGCGGCCACCACGTCCATCCGCACATTTTTCTTCGGCCCGTGTATCAGACTGCTGCGGTCGAGGGTTGCGCTTTGTGTGCAGCCTCGATGCCCCTCGTTCGATCGTATTAAACGGGGAAAAACGGGGAAAAAATTCGGGCGGGAATAACCATTAGCTTAATGTCTTGTGTCGAACGGGTCTATGTGTAACGTTGTACGTGAAGATTCGACCAAGTGTTTCGGACGTAGAGACGTATAACTCGATTTTTATTTTTATCGCGTTGATTAATGCATGCCTGTTGGGAAGATTGAGTATTGGATATCTGTAGAAAGTACTTCCTTGTTAGATGAAACGTTTTAATATTGCTATAGTTTCATTCGTGAAGCAATGGTTTGGAAAAATATTTTAGATTTCTTTTTAATTTTCAACTTTTGAAAAATAAATAATGAAAGTTATATAATTTCAGGCCAGCGCGTATTCTTACACTATAAGAATTAAATTTCAGTTTCGCTAATTTCATTATTAATTTAATATTGATTCTATTCTCGCATAGGAATCAATACAAATCAAATAATTGTAAGAAACTAAGCAAATATATATATTTAATACAGCTATTGTATCCGGAAAATTTCTCATTGTAACGAAACGTACAATTTGCCAAGGAAAATAGGCTAGTGAAACGGAATTGAAATATAGATATTTTGGGTAATTGCGTTTCAATGCAAAATTCGAAAAAAACTGGGGAAGAGAGCGAACGGTGGTCCGGCTTTTGAATGTTTGCACGACGGAAGTGTGGCCGGCGGCGGCCTCGGCGGAAATAAAATTTTTGGCAACGTTTCAATGACAACGAGCCACCGTGGCTCGTGTACCACGTTTTTTAATTAACTAGCTACAAGTATTCCCGGACGATGATAATTTTCAACAGTGGATCCGGAAAGTGGGCCACTCCATGGAATGAGCTATGTCACATCCGCAGGAATATGCCGATTTACGACTTCCTTTCTGTTTTAAACGTATATATTGTCGAAGAGTCGTGGATGGAAAAGGAATTTTTCTTTTCGAACAAGCGAAAAATACATGGTAAATAAAGTATTTATAATTTTTAAATTCGATATTATTAACTATTTTTATTATTAATATTTTAATTTTACTTGTTTCAAGCATGTGAATTTTGTATTAAGCGTGCAATGGATTGATTTGAATAATTAAACATTGTTTGGATATTAAATAAATTAAAGGGAATTGGAGAGAGAGTTATGTGTAACTTTCGTTGCAGTTTGATAATTTGTAATAAAAAGAAAATATGAATATAGAGTAAGGTAATAATCTTTTTCAATTTTCTATTTTTTCATTTCTATATCTTTCAAAATTTGTAATGAGAATAGAAACATTAATCTTGAGTATTTGTTTCAGTCCATTCAAGCCATTCAATTATATAATTTATAATGATAGATCTTAAATCTTATTTTATAAAAGCAAATAAAAATTCTACTTGATAATTCAATATTACCATTATGTAATCAATTGTGCAATAACTTATTTAACTTATGTGCACAGTTTCTATTTCTAATTCTCTTAGCGGCGTTAAGCGATTCCATTAGCAGTCTAATTTTCTGTGATAAATTATGTACATCGATAGCCTCTGAACAACGTACGTGTCTAATTATCAATTTATTCTCGAGCCATTAATTCGATCACTAACGACAGTAATCAACAATGGTATATTCGTACAAGAGAAACTGAATAAATCAGTGAAATGACCAACATTTCCATCAAATTTCCATTCGTTCTCACCAGAAGGGATGAAACAAAAGAAAAAAAAAATACAAGAGAAAGTATCACCGTTCTGTTTAACATTTTATTTTTATCTGTTTTATTAAAAAAATTATTAAAAAATGGATTAAAAACTATATAATCACACATTAGGATAAGATCAAATTTGCATATCATATCCTATTCAAAAATGAAAAAAAATTGCTTCCAATCTTTCAGATTTATTTTGCAAAATATAATATTGACGAAACTAATATTTTTTAAATTCCACAAAGATTTTGAAGTTTTTATTTTACTTTAAATGTGTTCTTGGAATAATATGGTATTATTTAATCGTTTAATTTTTATTTTTATCATATTATCAATTAATATTTTAAAATGAATATATAAATGATAAAATATAAACAAGAAATTAAAAATAGCATGGTAAATTTCATTTATTCAATTTATTCGTAAAACGTAATACAAATATTCTTCATTCAAAATTATTTTTACACAATGAAAACATGTTTCCGTTAAAAACAAAAATTATATTCTTGCAAAATTATTAAACAAGAATTTATGAAATCGATGCAAATAATGATTTCCACGTATCGTTTGCCTTGTACAATTAACTACCCTTGTACAATAAGGGTTTAAATTAATGAAATTCAAATTTTGATATAATTAGTTGCAAATATTAAAGAACAAATTTTTCTCTCTCGTATTTTACCATTTTATTCCACAATTGTACAATTATTTTCATAACGCAACGCATTAATTCTAATTTCCCGCGTACTCAAATCTATGCCTTCGTCGCCAAATAATAATAATAATAATAATAACAAATAATCCTCAAACAAACGAGACAAGCAACACCGATCGAATTTCAATTTGGCTCGAGTCTCATCGAGATAATCTCAAAACGAAACGAAACGAAACGAAAATTAGTCGAGAGCCAGGCGTACCAAACGTGAAAGAACGAACGAACGTTGCCGCGATTTTGCGTAAAAGTGGATCTCAATCGATTCGGTATCACACCGGGCTTCATAAATAATGCGACGATCAGCAGGAATTATCGGTGGGGCGGGGAGGCCGGTGTGCGGTGGCCAAGTGCGGGTAATCGTGACACGGCGCACGTCGCCGACTGGATTTTACGGTCGGAATCGACATCGGGAACGGGCTTTGCACGTCAACGGGCGTACAGCTAATTCCCGGCCCGGCACTGCCTTTCCACGAGCAAAGTCGTCCGTCTCTCGATCGCTTTCCACCGTTGGCAATGCCATTGCAGGGAAGAGGGTGGCGATAGAATTCACGAGGAATCAATCGATGTTCGCAGATCGAGCTTTCCACGGCCGATCGGGATTTCCTGCTGCGGCGGTTCACGCGTATTCTCCTACGAACGCCGAAATGTTAACACGAGAGAGGAAGAGAGAGGGAGAGAGAGAGAAAGAGAAAGAGAGAAAGGTGGAAAGGGTGGCAGAGGAGGCGAGATAGGAGAATGGAAAGTGAAAGAGGGTAGAACGAGAGCGAACGTTAGGTTGCACCTCCATGGTGGTGGTACATAAAGACAGCTTTCGCCCGTTATCGAGCCCGATTCCAACCCCGTCGTTGTCCCCCTCCATCAGCCGAACCCACGCCACACCAACCTCTACCTCTACTGCCCTTATCGGCTCAACAAATTTAACTTGATTTCCTATACGGACTTTGCGGAGCTCCGGGGAAATACAGAGCTGGCTTCGGCCCGTCTACGTCTAAACTCGCTTTACGATAAGGGATAAGCCTCACCCTACACCTACCATTCCTCCTCTTCCTCGTTCGCCCCTCTTTTCGTCTCTTTCGCCCCTCTTTCCGTCGATCTCTCCTTCTGATTCTCTCTCTTTCTCTTTCTTTCTTGTTAGTCGAGTACGAGCACCACCACGAACCATCCGTTCAACGATGTCGAATCCTCTTGACCCGAGCGGCCTGAACTTTTCGTCCACGAGGGGTCGAGGAAAAGGGGAGGAGAAGTTTTCGAAGTAGCACGGTTTCCTTCGCGCCGAAAAAGATCCAATGAGATTTCTCAAGGACGAGAGGAACGTGCCACCGACGGCTTGCTGGCTTTCGTTTGTTGCGAGATCGATGGTTATTTTGAGCTTAGTTATGGAATAAGAAAGAATTGTGAAAGAACTGTTTTCAGAATTGTGGATCAGAGGAAGGTGAGGTAAGTGAGATGATGCATGAAGAATATTTAATAGATAATTTAAACGTGGAATAATTTTTCATTGTTTTTGTATAATAAGATTTTGGGAATGAAGAAATTGGAATTTATTTTTAGAAAAATTAGATAAATTATAAAATACTTTTTCTTGTCACGTGATTAATTCCTCGAACATCGTAGAGAGTCAAAACTCACCCCCTACTTTGTTATCTTTTTGTAATTTCAAAAGCAAAATATATATATAATCGTATAAGAACAAAGGACAATATTCAAGATTCATAATTATTTTCATGTTTTGTTTACAGTATAAATAAATTCAATCA